ACTTTCCGAACTACACACTGGAGTGGTAGAAAACACTTGGTGTACAAAATACATGTGGAAAATTGAGCTTTACACCACACCAACCGTTACGTTGATGACACTGGTATCCTCGAAATAATTAAAACCGAACAGTAATCAATAATCGAGACGTAGTATTGCGTGTATGCAAAAAATGTGGCTTGAATCTGGAACAAAGCTCTACTTCAGAGGGGTTTCGTTGAGGTTCCACGCAACTGCACACAATCCATCTAAAGAGCTACCAAGAAGCGTTAGAGAAGCAGCCAACAGAGACCCCGAAGGCATTCATTAGTTTAGTTTTCTCTAGCAGGACAAAATATATTGCGCTGTATCTCTGCAAGAGTTTATTAGTAATTTACGGTTTTTTAAAAGAAATGGATCGATAAAAAGTTTCTCAGTACAATTTGAAAGCCTAACCGTGACTCCTTGAAGATGAAGACGCACGGTCGCCTCTTCTACACCGGCCTGAAATGCGTCTTTTAACTCCCTTTCAGTTTGGACCCGGGGACAAATGGACGATCACTGTCGAGCCGAAGCAGTTGGATTCTAGGTGTATCAACCGAAAGTACACAGTGGAAGTGACCAGAGGTAAGAAAACCCTCAGCCGTGGGTCAGATCGACAGTTTAGCCGACGTTTTCAGTAAATTTTATAGCTTATTAAATATTCATTCTAAAATGTGTTTTGATTAGAATATATTACTAAGATAGGTTTTTAATATTCATTAACACGCACAATTCACTCAGGCATAAAGTTTTGAAGAAGGCGTGCTTTCTACCAAATACCTGCACGAAATAATAATTTATGCCCCTCCCCCTTTCCACACGCGTGACAACCCAACGTCCTCAGCATGCTGAGTCCGGCTCGCAGGAGACGAGGGAACCACGAGATGACTAATTACCACCCCTCCCCCCCACCTCAAGAACTATATTAGCACAGTACCGAACTGCCTAATATAGTCGCCTGGTTTCCATGTCACTGTAACGGCCTGAAGTGAATGACCGAAGACAGCCGTTTGCCAACACGACTTTTCAATCGTAAACGAAATGGGAATTTTTGCCG